GCACTACAGGAGGTGGAGGTGGGGGTGTGGTAGAGTTGTGGGCACTACAGGAGGTGGAGGTGGAGGTGTGGTAGAGTTGTGGGCACTACAGGAGGTGGAGGTGGAGGTGTGGTAGAGTTGTGGGCACTACAGGAGGTGGTGGTGGGGGTGTGGTAGAGTTGTGGGCACTACAGGAGGTGGAGGTGGAGGTGTGGTAGAGTTGTGGGCACTACAGGAGGTGGTGGTGGGGGTGTGGTAGAGTTGTGGGCACTACAGGAGGTGGAGGTGGCGGTGTGGTAGAGTTGTGGGCACTACAGGAGGTGGTGGTGGGGGTGTGGTAGAGTTGTGGGCACTACAGGAGGTGGTGGTGGAGGTGTGGTAGAGTTGTGGGCACTACAGGAGGTGGAGGTGGGGGTGTGGTAGAGTTGTGGGCACTACAGGAGGTGGAGGTGGGGGTGTGGTAGAGTTGTGGGCACTACAGGAGGTGGTGGTGGGGTGTGGTAGAGTTGTGGGCACTACAGGAGGTGGTGGTTGGGGTGTGGTAGAGTTGTGGGCACTACAGGAGGTGGTGGTGGGGTGTGGTAGAGTTGTGGGCACTACAGGAGGTGGTGGTGGGGGTGTGGTAGAGTTGTGGGCACTACAGGTGGTGGTGGTGGGGGTGTGGTAGAGTTGTGGGCACTACAGAAGGTGGAGGTGGAGGTGTGGTAGAGTTGTGGGCACTACAGGAGGTGGTGGTGGGGGTGTGGTAGAGTTGTGGGCACTACAGGAGGTGGTGGTGGAGGTGTGGTAGAGTTGTGGGCACTACAGGAGGTGGTGGTGGGGGTGTGGTAGAGTTGTGGGCACTACAGGAGGTGGTGGTGGGGGTGTGGTAGAGTTGTGGGCACTACAGGAGGTGGTGGTGGGTATATTGATCCACTAGCGGCGTCCCTGACTGGTGACCCCCCCCCCCCTCTTTCTCTCCCAGACTTCTTCCCTTCCCACCCACCTCTCTCTCTCTCTCTCTCTCTCTCTCTCTCTCTCTCTCTCTCTCTCTCTCTCGCTCTCTCTCTCTCGCTCTCCCTCTTTCTCGCTCTTCCTCCTCCTCTCCCTCTCTCCCCAACTCTCCCCGTCACCAAATGATCTCACTAGGCTCCCCCCCCCCTCCGTTCTCACCAAGTGATCACTTTCCAAATGTCTTTGTCCTTGCTCTACAAATTTCTGTGCTTATTCCAGTTTCTTTATATTAACTTCCACACAGTCGTCTGGCCCATTTTCTTTTGTCTTGCGTTCATTGTTTTAAAGTTGACTATGCTTCCATATTCACGAAATGTGTTTCAAACCCCCATTTACAATGATCTATTTTAATGAGTATTGATTTATATATTTCTATTTGGTCGTTTTTATTTATAGGTTACTAGATGCGGCGCCTGTCCTTGCTTCAACACCTGTGGCTTTATTATTTATTTTAAGTTATTTCAATTGTTATCACTTTCTCCATCTCTTCCCTTACGCCACGCTCTCTCCAACCTCTGCCCAGTTACCTTAATAAGACCCTAAGCATCCCACCACTCTTTATCCCCACCCCAATATTCTTCCCCCCAATCTTTCGTCAATAACCCCAAAACCCCACCCCCCAATCCTTCGCCACTAACCCCCAAGTCCTACAATCCTTCCCCAATAACCTCAAAGCCATCACCCCCCCTCTCCCTCAATCATTTCTTTGCGCAATTGCCTCGGTTCCAAGACTTTTCCCCAGCTGTCGAAGAAGTGTTAGTGGTGCATCGGTTTTCAATATAGCGGAGGACGTGCTCTCTCTGCTACAACATTCCCTCATCACAGTGCGAGTGTTTCCTGGAGTACATGGCGGCGGTTCCTTGGAGGAACACCCTGACGGTACGAGGTTCTTCAAGACCATAAGTAATCAAGTGGCATTCAACTGACGTATGGGGTAAGTGGTATGACTAGGTGGTGCGATGCGTTCAAAGGGCTTAGCCTAAGTGGTATGGCGAGTACTAGCGTGCAAGTGGCATGCCTAGCGCAACAGTGCCGTAACGTGGAGATAACGGGAGGTAGCTCCCATTATCCCATGCGTGGCAGCTCCCATTATCCCATGCGTGGCAGCTCCTATTCACTCGTGCGAGACAGCTACTTTACATCCATTTTCCCATTAGTTTATTTGCCCAAATTAGGCTTATCTCTTTACCTTGGCTTTGATTCTTTGTTCCACACTTCTGTGATCATATTTTTTTCTTAGCAACACTTCCTTCTAAACCTAAACTTATCCAGGCTAACTTGAATCTAATATTTCCAATTCTACTGTATTAACGTGATATTTTAAAAAATGTCTATTGATTCCTTACGGTCTTCTCAATCACCTTATATGATAGATTATACAAATGACACTAGAGTGTAATGCCGTCTGTCCCTTATCTTGCCCACTGACACTACACTGCTTGTCTTCCAATCTTGTGGGTTCTGTTTGTTTTCGTTTTTCAAGAGATTTATACTGTGTGCCAGAGTTAGAGGAAGCCTAGTCAGACATAGATGGGGCCGCGAGGACAATAATCCTCGGAAGTATCTAGAGGTAGGTAGTGGTCATCACAACACTACAGTTCCCTGGCTTAGTACCCAGGGGGCCAGATTCACGAAGCAGTTACGCAAGCACTTACGAACCTGTCCATCTTTTCTCAATCTTTGGCGGCTGTGTTTATAATTATTAAACAGTTAATGAGCTCCGAAGCACACGGAGGCTGTTTATAACAATAACAACAGTTGATTGGGAAGTTTTCATACTTGTAAACTGTCGGATAAATGTAACTAAAGCTGTCAAAAGATTGATGAAAGATGAACACGTTCGTAAGTAATTGCTTAACTGCTTCGTGAATCTGGCCCCCAGGGTGAGATCCTATCTGGTCCCACTACCTTAGTTGTGTCCAGTTCCAGCAGCTGCCTTAAGTCATCTTTATTTACCTTGTTCCCGGCCCACCCGGTGCAGGAACTTCCTGGAACTTCCTCTTGCTCTATTGTGAAGCCATCCTGGAATCTCCTGTTGAGTTCCACACACGTATATCTGTCATTCTCTGTGAATGAGTCAGATGGAAGTGAGAATGTTTACAATCTGGGGCAAGACCAAGCACCCCAACATTTCTAGAGCCTAGTATGCTTGATCTATGGAACAAATTACCTGGTAACATAATAGATGTTGGATCCCTTGATTGTTTCAAGCGTAGGTTAGACATACATATGAATGATTTTCGATGCATATATGTAGGAGATACTTCCTATGGATCAATAGGCCTTCGGCAGCTTCCTTAATTTTTATGTACTTTTTAAAGTTAGTGGAAAGGACGAAAAAAAGGGTCAAGTGCCCGCACGATCACCAGATCCAATGGACCTTTCCTAACCCGTGGAACTATCAGGAGAAAGCGCCAAGCCATTACGACTATATAGCCCTGGGAAGGGGGTCAGGATAAGGATTTGGGATGGGACAGGGGGGTGGGGGAGGGGAAGGAATGATGCCCAACCACTTGGACGGTCGGGGATTGAACGCCGACCGGCATGAAGCGAGACCGTTGCTCTACCGTCCAGCCGAAGTGGTTGGACAGCAGCCTGAGGAATACGGTGTACAGGGAGTGGCACACCAAGAACTTTAGGCTGGAAATAGAGCGATTTTCTGCAGCTACCCGAACAGAAACCGTTGTGCAAGTTTGCCGTTCTGTTGCTTGTCTCCGTCAACGGAACCTTGATGGTACAGCTGAACTACTTTGAAACTCTATTGAAGTGGACCGAGTTCCACAAACTATTGTTTCGCCGAATTCATATGCCACCGCGCTACACACACACACACACAAACACACACACACACACACACACACACACACACACACAAGGAATCAGGTGAAAACTGAGAACCCAAATGAACCACAGGGACATTAGAAAGAACTTTTTCAGTGTCAGAGTAGGTAACAGATGGAATGCATTAGGCAGTGATGTGGTGGAGGCTGACTCCATACACAGTTTCAAATGTAGATATGATAAGAGCCCAGAAGGCTCAGGAATCTGTACACCAGTTGATTGACAGTTGTGAGGCGGGACCAAAGAGCTAAAGCTCAACCCGCGCAAGCACAACTAGGTGAGTACAAGCAACCCGTTCTCGCACTTGCTTATAGTCAATATTGGCTTATTTAATAAGTGTATATGAGACATACTAATTGATTGTGAATATTTTAGTTTACCTTGAAAAGCTTCATAGAAAACACCGACCTCACCTAACCTTCTTAGTATGTTAAGATAAACATCTTATTGCTTCTTAATTACAATTATTACTTAACCTATAGGTTAAGTAATGTTAAGTAAGTAAAGTTTAAGTAAAGGTTAAGTAAAGGCCTCTCCCAATAACATTTTAGATGCATATGCTGGTGGAGCCTAGTAATGTTTTCGTGTATTTGATTGTTATGTGTTCTTTGAGTTGTAAGTTGAAATGATGAATTAGGAGCCATATTGTCAACGATAAAATGATATTTAGTTAATAAATTCCCATATTTCCCCTATGTAACAAGGTAGACATTCGACTGATGTCTAACATAACCTAACCTATTCCTATAATAGGTTAAGTAATAATTGTAATTACGAAGCAATAAGATGCTTATCTTAACATACTAAGAAGGTTAGGTAAGGTCGGTGTTTTATATGAAGCTTTTCAAGGTAAACTAGTATGTTTAGTATGTCACATATGCACGTATTTAATAAGTCAATATTGACTATACGAAAGTGCGAGAACGGGTTGGTACAAGAGTACCATCTGGACTCGACCCTGCTACCCAGTGATCACCAGTTCGTCACACTGTACCCAACTATAGGTGAGTAGATAGTGAGACCAACTAGAGAGCACTAGATATGAGTGTGCTCATGTAATGCAGTATTTGTCTTCACCAACATGGTTGCAGGTGACAACCGACAATGTCGTACGGTAGCGCCGACGACACGGTCGTAGGTGGCAACAATACCATGGTAGCAGAAGGGAGGAAAAGCCACGCACTCACCTGGTTATCCTCAGAAGAGCCCCTGGAGCGCGCCAGGAGGGAAGCTCGCGACGAGACCGCGGAGGTGAGGGCGGAGGTCGGGGGAAAGGTGGGGGAGGTACTCTGGGCGTGGGCGTTCATCTGATGAAGAGAGTCGAGCAGGTCCTGCGCCCATATCGACCACTCGTTGCCACACGCCCGCTCGCTCGACTGTGAGGTCAACGACCACGAAGGGCGTATCAGGGCGTGTTCTGACCTGCTCCGGGCCCCCACGCCCTCCCGCTCCTTCTGGTGGGCGTGGTGGGAGACTCGACGCTGTGGGATAGGCTGGTTGAGGTTGTGCTCCGAGCGGGCAAACCGGTGCCTCGCTCGGAACTTTCGGGTCGGGTGCTCGGTATCTGGGAGCGGCGGACCCCTGGGTCCCGCACCACACAAGCGGTTGACTAGGGTATCGCGAGCCTGCATGAAGACCCCCCTGGGGGAGTCTCTAGCCTCTGGCGGGAGGGCCGGCACTAGAGGCGGGCTGTCAGAATAGTTGACGCTACAGTCCAGGCGAGAGACACTACGGGCGCGGGCTGGAGTCACACTCTCCGTCTTACCCTCAGCTTCTGACGCCTCACATTCTGTCATCCCAAGGACCTCACAAGACCTGGCCAGGTTAGGTCTCGGTGCAGGGACGTAGGGCATAGTCAGCACCAGGGCACTGGTAGAGGGGCCGTGGAGGGTATCCGAGGCGGGGGGCGGCAGCAGCGGCGGCTCTGTCTCTAGACTGTCCACGCTGGAGGTGGCCGGAGTCGAGGTGAGAGACTCGGGACCTCCGGAATTAAGAGACTCTGATCTTCCCTGCAGGTCTGCCTGGGACTTCTTGGCGGGCCCGGGTGTGGTTTCTTCGGTCAGGCAAGGCGTAGACCTGGAGCCACTCCGGTGCAGCCGCTTCTTTACCGTCACTTGCGAGGACCCGCGGCTGAGGGGCGACCCCAGGAGCCAAGTGGAGGACTTAGCATGACGTCTGAGGGAAGCCGAAGGCCCCGGTCCCCTCCTGCACACGTCCCGGGAACCCATGTCCATTAGTCCCAAGCAGCGGGACACGTCCACCACCCACGACATCTTGATACATGGGCTCTGCTTCTCCCACGGTCACTCATCCAGGTGCCGTCCACCACCACCACCCCTCTCACCAATATTATACTTGCCCTTATGTCTCTCACGGGGAAACTTATCAAACAAAGTATATTTATTCTCCGTCACGACTCGTGTCACAACCCGCAGGAGAGCACCGTGTGACACTTGCAGCAGCCTGGGTGTCTCAAGTCATGAGGCGTGGTAGCCTGGGGCAGCAGGAGGTAGGTGGTGTGGAGGTAGACGACTCCGTGTGGAGGTAGACGACTCCGTGTGGAGGGACAGGTTATGGTGGTGTGGGAGCTGTCAACAGCCTGCCAGCGGTACAGGGGTCCCCATGACCACCTTCACAACACCCTCGCTCACGCGCCACCACGTGCTCCCACTGTACCTCATCCACACACGCATTCCACACCTCTAATACACTCCAACATCAATCACTAACACATATTTTCCTTTTATAATTAATACGCGACCAATTATCTACAATCACTCCCCGAATCCTTCACAGAATTTTAGATTCGCAGTATTAAATCCTCTCGGGAAAAGCAATTATAAATAAAATATATATTATGTTCCAGGTCTTTCAAAGGGCGGTCATGAGGGAGGCGACAACGCCCCTCCGCACACGGTGGGCGCCACACGCGAACTGGTGAACGCTTCCTTACTCCACCACACGCGCGCTCACGACACCCCGCCGCCGACACTTTACGGATGTCTAACTTCGCGACGATTTCCTATTTCACCACAAATACAACCCGAAACCTACAAACCAACTAGACAAAAATATTACCCCACCCATCATAATATCGTTCACTATTAGGAGATGTGAATTCTGGACATAATGAAACAGACACGATTGATGTTAACACGATCGTCCAGCAAAGCAATCGCGAAAAAATGCGACTAACGTCAGTTTTCCCAGCGTGCCTATTGTGCTTTCCGAACTGAGCGAATCTACCCGGATTTCTCCCGCACAGTGGCATACTCTAAGCTTCAATAGCAACAAGGCGGGGCGGCAACAGTACCGAAATTCAATACCAAGCAAATTGTCGTACACATATCAACAACGTCTACACTCACGCTCCCCGAGCCAGGTGTGGTACCTGCAGGTATGGGAGAGCAAAGCTACCGGTACACCCCAGCAGATGTGCATAAGGGGGTTTCTCAGCTCAATAAAAACAAGTCCCCCTGCAATGCGATTATCCTCACTTGCACAGCACCAGCACAACACAGAATGTCCCGGTACTCTCCAACCACTACGATCACTTGCGGGGTTTTATATTCAATTTTGTTCACTAATAAGCCTCAAAGTTTCATCCCAACTCCGTGAAAAATACAAAACAGAAGATTGTTGAGTATGAAGCATCGTATTTCACGGTATTAATAATTGAGCTTGGGCCCCCTTGTGCAGGCGCGACACCTCACGCTAGACTGTATACATGGTAACACTCCTCACGCTAGACTGTACACGTGGTAACACACCTCACGCTAGACTGTACACGTGGTAACACACCTCACGCTAGACTGTACACGTGGTAACACACCTCACGCTAGACTGTACACGTGGTAACACACCTCACGCTAGACTGTATACATGGTAATACACCTCACGCTAGACTGTACACGTGGTAACCCACCTCACGCTAGACTGTACACGTGGTAACACGCCTCACGCTAGACTGTACACGAGGTAACCCACCTCACGCTAGACTGTACACGTGGTAACACGCCTCACGCTAGACTGTACACGTGGTAACACGCCTCACGCTAGACTGTATACGTGGTAACACGCCTCACGCTAGACTGTACACGTGGTAACACACTTCACGCTAGACTGTACACGTGGTAACACACTTCACGCTAGACTGTATACATGGTAACACACTTCACGCTAAACTGTATACATGGTAACACACTTCACGCTAGACTGTACACGTGGTAACCCACCTCACGCTAGACTGTACACGTGGTAACACACCTCACGCTAGACTGTACACGTGGTAACACACCTCACGCTAGACTGTATACGTGGTAACACACTTCACGCTAGACTGTACACGTGGTAACACACTTCACGCTAGACTGTACACGTGGTAACACACTTCACGCTAGACTGTATACATGGTAACACACTTCACGCTAGACTGTACACGTGGTAACACACCTCACGCTAGACTGTACCCGTGGTAACACACTTCACGCTAGACTGTATATATGGTAACACACTTCACGCTAGACTGTACACGTGGTAACACACCTCACGCTAGACTGTACACGTGGTAACACAATTCACGCTAGACTGTACACGTGGTAACACACCTCACGCTAGACTGTACACGTGGTAACACAATTCACGCTAGACTGTACCCGTGGTAACACACTTCACGCTAGACTGTATATATGGTAACACACTTCACGCTAGACTGTACACGTGGTAACACACCTCACGCTAGACTGTATACGTGGTAACACACCTCACGCTAGACTGTATACATGATAACACACCTCACGCTAGACTGTACACGTGGTAACACACCTCACGCTAGACTGTACACGTGGTAACACACCTCACGCTAGGCTGTATACATGGTAACACACCTCACGCTAGACTGTATACGTGGTAACACACCTCACGCTAGACTGTATACATGGTAACACACTTCACGCTAGACTGTACACGTGGTAACACACCTCACGCTAGACTGTACACGTGGTAACACAATTCACGCTAGACTGTACACGTGGTAACACACCTCACGCTAGACTGTACGTGGTAACACCTCACGCTAGACTGTACGTGGTAACACCTCACGCTAGACTGTACGTGGTAACACACCTCACGCTAGACTGTATACGTGGTAACACACCTCACGCTAGACTGTACACGTGATAACACAATTCACGCTAGACTGTACACGTGGTAACACACCTCACGCTAGACTGTATTTGGTAACACCTCACGCTAGACTGTATTTGGTAACACCTCACGCTAGACTGTACGTGGTAACACACCTCACGCTAGACTGTACGTGGTAACACACCTCACGCTAGACTGTACACGTGATAACACAATTCACGCTAGACTGTACACGTGGTAACACACCTCACGCTAGACTGTACGTGGTAACACCTCACGCTAGACTGTACGTGGTAACACCTCACGCTAGACTGTACGTGGTAACACACCTCACGCTAGACTGTATTTGGTAACACCTCACGCTAGACTGTACGTGGTAACACCTCACGCTAGACTGTATTTGGTAACACCTCACGCTAGACTGTACGTGGTAACACACCTCACGCTAGACTGTACGTGGTAACACATCTCACGCTAGACTGTACACGTGGTAACACATCTCACGCTAGACTGTACACGTGGTAACCCTAAGTGTATTCTACACCTGATAGACAACTGAGGTTTGCACACACAGTAGGCGTCATGCAGCGATGAGGGTGGAACACGGGCGGAAGGGTCAACACAACCTGTCTGTCTGTCTGTCTGTCTGTCTGTCTGTCTGTCTGTCTGTCTGTCTGTCTGTCTGTCTGTCTGCCTGCCTGCCTGCCTGCCTGCCTGCTGCCTGCCTGTCTGTTTGTATGTATGTCGGTCTGTCTCAAGCATTGAAATCACCAAATACATTTCCCGTCGGGTTGAAAATGTAACATTTTATTCCCAAAGAAAACTATGAATTATTTAAAAAAAAAAGAGATATGAAGAGTAGAGAACATAAATACAAAATTAAATCATTCAAGGAAACCCGTTATTTGATGAGGATGACGATAACAAAAATAATATTTTCGCCTCGTGTCGCGAGGCTGGGGAACGTGTGACGTCACACAGAGGGAAAGAGAGACTTCACATGACGTCATTTTCCCAGATAACCAGACTTCACCATGACGTCATTTTCCCAGACAACCCACTGTACACTCGCACAGTGGGTTAGATCCCATTGCATATCCCTCTCCCATGTTAATTAAGCCCACGAATTCAATAACCAGGTGTTCAGACAGCGCAAAGCAGCTTAGCCTGTGCTATTATGATCCTCCGCACTATAACATGACGGGCTATTTAAACGGTAATTACGATAATCTTCAAAAGCCTTTGAATAAAAAAGAGCTCGACGGATAAACTCAAAACTGAGTAATTAGGTTCAGTGACCGTTGAACCTGCCACATACACGATCTCCTTCATTTTGGTGTCCCGTCTTACCCTAAGTTCCAAGTACAGTGTTAAGTTAGGGCAGACTCTGTTAGGCTGCAACAGGCTAAAACACAGTGAGATAGGTTAGAATGGGACAGGATAGATTAAGTTCGGGTTAATTAAGCTAGGATGATCAACATGTTGATTGCCGTAGTCCAATCAAAAATTGCCGTAATCCAAAATGGCAATTTATTTTCCATATGAAATGGACCCAAAACAGCATATTTTGGGTCCTCTGGTAGGGTACTAGGGCAGCAAGTTCTCCTAACGTTTCAAAAGATCATGAATACTGTTAATTTAAACTGTCCTTTCCTATCCTAACGCACTAAGCCAGAGGACCCAAAACAGAAAACGGGACAGAACGTCACTTTCGCGAGCCGCTTCCATTTTCTAGTACACCAATTTTTAGCCGTAGTGCGCATACGAGCGAAAAGCGACGTTATTTGTAAGAGTACGGGTTGGTCTGGCAGCGCTATGAGGAACATCCGAGAGAGAGAGAGAGAGAGAGAGAGAGAGAGAGAGAGAGAGAGAGAGAGAGAGAGAGAGAGAGAGAGAGAGAGAGAGAGAGAGAGAGAGAGAGAGAGAGAGAGAGAGAGAGAGAGCGAGAGAGCGAGAGAGAGAGAGAGAGAGAGAGAGAGAGAGAGAGAGAGAGAGAGAGAGAGAGAGAGAGAGAGAGAGAGAGAGAGAGAGAGAGAGAGAGAGCGAGAGAGCGAGAGAGAGAGAGAGAGAGAGAGAGAGAGAGAGAGAGAGAGAGAGAGAGAGAGAGAGAGAGAGAGAGAGAGAGAGAGACAAACAGACAGACAGAATGACAGACAGACAGACAGACAGACAGACAGAGATCACCTTATTACCGAGCTCTACAGATACTCATAACCTTCTAGAGTCACAACTCTCAAATGCTCCTACACATTCTCCACAACTACCATTAGGCTTTTGTGTAATTACCTCAGAGGGAGAGAGTTGTGGCGAGGGATGATTGACTCCCGCAGTGGTTACCGCGGGAAAGTTCAATACTCGGGAAATTGTCGATGGCGAATTAGGATGAGGGGAAAGAGGGGAGGGAGGGGGTTTGAGGTCGTGTGAAGGGAGGGGGAAGAAGGGGAGGGAGTTTGAGGTCGTGTAAGGGGAGGGAGTTTGAGGTCGTGTAAGGGGAGGGGGGTTGAGGTCGTGTGTGGGGGGGGGGGGGGGGGAGGGGGGGGGTTGAGAGAGCGGACACAGCGGTCCAACGGCCAGGGTCAAAGAGCGATTGTAACTTTACCTCACCCCCACGACAGGTACACGTCCCCTGTACCCCATTCGCCTCACTGTACTTCACCACACTGTACCCCATTCACCACTCAATTGTATACAACGTGTATTACTACCATTACAATTATTATCAAGTAATACGTACTTATTGCAGAGTCCAATTCGAAACAAGGAAACATTAGTTCAGTAGGAAATGCACTAACC